CCTTTTTCTTGTCAACCGGTTTATCTTATTTATTTTGAGAGTTGACTGATGTTTGGGATGCATGGGGATAACGGAGTTATTTATTGGATGATTGGGTATGAAATGAGGTATGATTGAGTTGCATTTACTGTGTTTGACCGAAAAAAAAATGAGGAAAGAAAAAAAAGAAGAAGAAAAGAAAAATAATGATAATAAAGAGAGCTCGCAAGTCGAACTGTTGGGATTCTACTCCTCTTACTAGTTTATTTATTTTGACGTGTAATGAGTAATGGGAAACCACTCTAGGACACTTGGATGACCTCCAATGTTTATACCTAGAGAATGTTGTCCATGCAGTTTGATTTTGTTTGGAAAAAATGGAACTCTCTAAAAAAAAAGGAAAAAAGAAAAGAAAAAAAAAAAGAAAAAAACATGGTCAAGTACTTCCTTTGTAATTTGATTTGAGCATTTATGAGTTGTGTATGGATTGTTTTGGTTTGGGATTGAGAAACTTCATGTTGATTAGAGAGGAAGAGTGGGATATGTCGAGTAGTCTATTTACTCGAATGGTATGATTGTTTATTTGAGCCACTTAACCCATATATATCTTACCCTTGACCAACTGGAAAGACCTTTTGATTTAAAGCTCATGATTATGGTTGTGTTTGAAGTAGAGTTTTAGATGATTGGCAAACATATAGTTAACTGGGTGTTCAATGTGACTTGAGCGTGTCCTTCTCTTTTATATATTGATGACATGTGAGTGAGGCACTTATATATTCCTATTTGAGAGTTCGTTGATTCAAGGTGGATACAAGTTAATAGTCAAAGCATTATAATTATGATCTTTTGAATTTTTCTCGGTTGCATTGAAGGACTTGAAGCTGTTCTAGTTTGATATCACTCATTATGCTTGAGTGTTGATTTTATTATTCTTGTTCGGGGACGAACAAGGGTTTCAGTTTGGGGGAGTTGATATTTATTATATTTTCATGCATTATGAGTGATATATTGTGATATTTGGCCCTGGTTATCGTGTGATTGTGCACCATTTCGTTTTATTTATTAAACTATGATAGAGGTGTTTTTGTCGTTGTTTTGCAGTAAATATGCCCGGAAAAGCGTTGAAAATAGAATCGGGACGAAAAACAGCGAAAACGGGTGCAGAAGAGGTCACACGACTCGTGTGGGTAGTGACACGGGTCGTGTGGGTTGAGAAAATAAGAAACGCAGCTACGGCTTTTTCACACGGGTCGTGTGGGTTGAGACACGGGTCGTGTGGCCTCACACGACTCGTGTGACCCGGTCGTGTGACCAGTCGTGTGAGTCTGGAAGTTTGCCGAAACGTTGAGAAAAGTCACACGACTCGTGTGGCATGTGACACGACTCGTGTGACGCGCAGACTAGTTCAGCGGGGAATAAGATTCTTGTGCGATATCTTCCCTTTTTCGACCCAGAATAGCCCTACAGTATAAAACAGACCTTAGGAACTCGTTTTTGGGACTTTTGACACCATTGGAGGCCTAGAGAAAGCACGAAACACACGAGGGATTCGAGGAAGTCAAGATTGAAGATTCGGGAACTAACGGCGACAATAGTTCTTCTTTCTTTTCTCTTTTTCTTCTTCATTAAACTCATGAATATATTTATTTTGAGTTTTGAGAATATGTTTAGTAGCTAAACCTTTTAGGGATTCTAGGATTTGCGAGTACTCGGATTATTTTATGAAGTGATTTTATTTATTCATTCCGGTTTATCATTCGTGTATCAATTTCTTGTGCTTTTATTAATTGTGTGAATATAAGGGCCCGTATTTATGCATATTTGTGATTGACTTGAGACCGAGAGGAGATAGTTGATTGCTAAAATTGGGAAATTCATAACGTAAGAGACTAAACAGACCGAGAGGTTGATAGAATCTTGCGAGGGAATTAGAATCTTAGGAGCTTATGGGAGTTGATTGTTCATCTTGAGACCGAGAGGAGATAGATAACAATTAATATCTACGATTTAACTTGTTCGAGAGAAAGGTGTAAATTACTTTAGTGATTATCCCTACGAATGGTAGAATTAAATAAGGTTTGAATGAATAGGAAATCTTTGTTAGAATAATCCCGAGGAAAGCATAGCCTAGAATCTATTTTCTCATTCTTGATTTATTTTAGAACAAGCCTTCATTAGTGTTAGAATTTATTTTGCAATCATTCATTAGTTTAGAATAAAATCACCATATAAATTCGCATTAGACTGAATAATATTTAACCATTTACATTTTGATACTTAGTTAATTTTGACAACAATCTCTGTGGAATACGACCTTGCTCGCCACTCACTATAGCTATACCGTACACTTGCGGGTAGTGAAAATATTTTGCGAACACTTAATCGAGCGGTTCGTGAATGAAGGGACCGTATGACTATTGAGTTCTACACGAAAGGTTTATTTACTTGTCCATGTAAACGTACTTCATATTTTGAGTTTGTCCTTCGATGCAGTGTAGGAGTTTCGTAAGGATCATAAATTAGATTTATGTCAATATATGAAGGCCTATAGGGTCACACAATATGCAATCAGTTTTCTCACTAAGAGTGAATCGAGAGTGTTAAATATTCAATTGAACTGGAATATTTATTTATGAGTAATGAGATTATTTTCTATTTGATAGAAAATAATTAATTAAGTTAAATTGGATTTATACTTAATTAAATTATTAATTGAATTAGGTCCAATTACCTATTGGGCTATAGGGTTTTCTACGGCCCATATGATTAGGTTTGACCTAATTATAAATATCTCATTATCTCATTCATAATCATTAATCGATGGATCGATAAATGAGAGAATCAAAATCTTAGAGATTGAGAGATCAAGATCAAAACATTCTCTAGCTTTCCGGATCGAGGATTCGTAGCTTCTTCACCGGAAGGGATTCATTGACGTTAGATCGTGCATCGGAAAACTGGATTGCGTGGACACCATAGTCGAGGACAAAAGACGAATAACTGTAAGTTTTCGTGTATCATTCACGCGATTTAGGATCATATCGAATAGCTATAGCCGAATCTTCGTTGTTGGTATGAAAGATTTTAAAATTCCGCTGCGCGTACACTAGGTTCATACGTCGAAATTCCAACATCCCTGTGGTTTAACCAACAATTTTTTAGTAGTCCATTTAAAGCATTTTCTAAATAATATTTAATGCATCCCTTGTTCAATTTAAAGGGTACGCCGGCCACACTAGCATGTAGTTAATTATGCATCCCTACTTTTTCAGTATCCACATTTGGCTAATATATATGTCTTGTAAAGCAGATATGGCATATTTTCTTGATATTTATGGCCATCTTAGAAAGCATTAGGAGTAGTGTTCATGTATCTATGTTTTCAAATCTTATAATTACATGGATTACAAATGCATACAGACTTAAAACTAACTCTAGTACTTAGTTGGCCATTACATGAACTACGCCAAACAATAAATGTTAGGTACATAGAATTACAAAGCATTTCACATAATATTAAAAACACCAGAATAAACTTTACATGTATTCGACCTGTGTCTAATCGATAATCTGCCTGCATTCAATACACGATAAACAAAAATAATCCGAATTTTATATCCCACATCTCGTTATTAGTGTAACATTTTTGACAAATTAATGTATTAAAAGAGCTATATAATGAACAAAGAAAAAAAGAAAAAATATATCAAACTTGAATTGTTTGATATTTTAGTTTGCACCATTTTTATTGGTTAGAAAGCCGTGCGTATTGCATGAGAATCATATCTTCAACTTGCAATCGGGACTGAAGCCTAATTGCAAATTACAATTTACCTAGCTATTTACAATTATAAATCGCCCGAAAAACAGGAAAAGAGATATATATAAATAAGCAACTTTTATAGAAGACAATGGTCACAATTTGAAGTGGCAGTCAATTTATTTGTGTATATGGCTCCACCACAAGGATTGTGTATGTACTAATTATGCTCATGATAAAACAGATAGATCATAGCATCATAAAAATCGCCTTTATTGATACCTTTCCTGGTTTGCAAATCCAAGAGTATTATGAGATCTTCTAAGTGAAGTGATCGCAAAAGAAGATCTTTATATCATTCATAAGGAAAAGGGGAAGGCCTCTGAAATTCATGATAAGATAGCTTTATTTCATCTAATAATTGATTTAGAGATTTATTGTATCTCGACAGAGTGATTGGATAATAGTGCTCCAAGTGGTCTGAAAAATTGACTTTCATTAGATGTTCATCTGAACTCTGAGGTAATTCAATTATTAAAAAAAAAATGCAAGTATATATATATATATATTGAGATAGTAGCATAATGTTCATCGTATAGAGGGGTGGTGTGCAGAACTAACTTGTGGGACCCAAAGGACAATTTACATTTGACAGAATTAAAACAGCCCAAAAGAACTACTAATGGACCTAATAGTAGCATAGTATTTAACAGGCTCAACTAACAACTAATTAGGCCCAATAAACAATAAAATCCTTAAGCCTTGTCTCGTATCTTCAGTGCCTAAGCCGCAGGGTGTGCCGTATTCTCCATGCGGCCGGTTCGGAAAAGGGCCGATTTTTNTTTTTTTTTTTTTTTAAATTGTGTTTATTTTAATTAATTTATCTACAAAATTATACACTTAGTTTTTTAATATGTTTACATTATTATTTGATTTTAACCAATCTCAGTATTTAGTAAAGCAGATTTTATATAAATTAAATTAATATTTATTAAAATTAATAAATAGGTGGTAAAATCAATTGACTGCATACGATCAATTGACTGCATACGGTTAGACAGTGACTTCAAATATTTGGATTACCCATTCAATTTTTTTTTTCAATGAATATTTTTTTTTATTTTCTCAATAAGAGTTTTGTGCAAATACTATATTGTTGTATATTTGAAGATTAATAATCATATTTTCATAGGCAAAATCGTTTCTTCAAATATTTTGTTTCAAAATATTGGTAAATGAGAGAAATATGATTTAAAAAGGAATACATCTTGCAATTTAATCATTGAGATTCGGCAAAAACACCATAAATCAGGAAGAAATAAAAATGTAAAATATTATTATAGGATTAAAAAGGAAACAATAACAATGTCTTTTACAAGATATTATGGTAATTACAATGCCTAATTTGCAACCGAGCCTAGTTATGTGTTAGTCCAAATCATAATTGTGATATAAGATTATGAATCCTGCGAGTCTGCCAATTAAGTTCATCATGTTCTGAAATTATATATAAGGGAATGAAAACATACATGATAAAAGGGTTCCAAGTGCGACTAACTGGAACTAATTTATGGCATCAACATCACACACACACAAAGGGCATCAACACACACACACACAAAAGAAGAAGACAAGAAAAGTGCTTTGAATATCACAGGAGGGACTTGACTAGTACAAAATATCAGTCCTCGTATTATACAACACATAAATTTACGCTTTTCCTATGAACTTGAGGCAGGGAATGAAAGATCTATTACAAACCGAAATGGAATTACATTGAGGATCTAGCTCATAGATATAGATTTATACTGCTTTACCGTATTTGTTATTGCTTGTTCAACTGGCAGCCTCTCCAAACTGGATGCACCATAGAATCCATTAACTCCTTTAGTTCTCTTCAATACATATTCTGCATCACTGGGGCCAGATATAGAACCTACAATTGCACAGCAGAACCATTTTAGTCAACGTTCACAGAATGTCATCAAAAGATCATAAGATCCATTGATTGTTAAGACAATGGTGTGCATAAGCATTTGCAGTTCTTATTCAATTTTCAGATATATATATTCTACATTCCATATGTGTCAGTATTCTTCTGAATAAAGCAAATCATAATAGCGAATCTCTAGCATTACGAAGGATGTGTTCTCCAAAAACTGACCATACACTCAAATTTCCTTTCACACGATAAGCAGTTAAAGCTGATATTTTTCCAGTACAGACAACACACATAAACACACAAGATATGATAAAATTGACTGTGAACATCCAATAATGGAATGTTCATTAGTTGTAAAACTTATGTTACCTCCATGACACAATACAATAGCATCTGGATTAATCCTTCGAGCAGCATCTGCAATAGCTTGTACACGAGTTACACTTTCCTCAATCGAGACAGCTGTTTTTGCACCAATCGAACCAGACATTGTAAGCCCCATGTGCGCCACGATTATGTCAGCGCCAGCTGTCGCCATTTCTATTGCTTCTTCTTCATTAAAAGCATATGGGGTTGTCAGGAGGCCCAATTTATGAGCCTTTGATATCATCTCAACCTCCAAACTGAAGATGGGAACAAAGAAGATCATAAGTACCAAAGGCAGTTGGAAAATTTTGCAAGTCTACTAAGTCCACTAGTTTTACCTATATCCCATTCCTGTCTCTTCTAAGTTTTGTCTGAAATTACCGTCAAATAGCCCAACAGTTGGAAAATTTTGCACCCCTGCAAATCCAGTAGACTCGAGTTGCTTCAGGAAGAAATCCATCCTTCGGAATGGGTCAGTAGCACATACTCCAGCTAGAACAGGGACTTGTTTTACTACCTAAAATGTCAGAACAGAAAAAGGAAGAATGCAGTAGCAAAAATCAGGTAGCCCTTTTTGTTTCGCCAAAGCTCACAGAAGTTTGCATAATCATAAGAACGGTAGAAGGCATTGTTTAAATAATCCATGCAACATAATTGAGGTACACGTATATATAAGTTTTCAGAGGCAAAGGAAACACCACCTTTTCTTTTGACCTCATCAAATTAAACCAGTTGACTGAGTTCCCAATTCATCTAAAAAATACTCAAAGAATCCGAACATTTTAATTTTGGGATTGTCATAAATACAAAATTTATAAGTAAATTGAACCGTTATAATGTCGCATTAGGTTCAGCAATAAAATCAAATTCGTTTTACAACTTTCACAATGCTATATCTTATACACACCACATGTCAAAACAATTGATTTTTCAACCCTTCAACGAAAGAACATAAGAATTATAGCATGTAATAAATATATAATGAGTCCAAGATATTCATGAAGCTACTTAAAATTTGAAAAGAACGTCTCATTATGAGCTTCTAGCTAAAGAAACCAATGCACGGAAGATCTCTATATTCAAATGAAATACTTACAGGCAACACCTCGTTGGCCATGTCAAGTACAACTGCATTTGCATCAGCAAATGGCAGTAAGCCTGCCAAAGATCCTCTTCCTGCCATCCTGAAGCGTCCCGAGTTGTACACGACAATCAGATCAACTCCACCAGCTTCCTCAAACTTGGCAGATATGCCTGTCCCAGCTCCGGCACCAATAATAGGCTTCCCCTCTTGGATTCGATACATCAATTGATGTAGTATATTATGTCTCCTCTCTAGTGTTTCTGTTCCAATAAACCAAAAGAATTCTTATATCAATTAAAAAATAGATGACTAGAAAATAGAATTTTTTACTTTGTTGAAAATATCATTTTCCTCACAAAACGTTGTTTTAGCTTTTATCACACAAAAGAAATATATCCAACATTATCTAACAAGTAAACGGCTATGAGATGATGAATGCAATTAATTTTCATATTAAATGTTCTGAAAATAATATCACGCGAACTAAGAATCAAATAGGAAACATGTCTAGTATTTAGATACTGACTTTGCTGAATCACTAGAGAAATGACACAAGGATACAGTATGTGTCATAGATTCCATGTCAAGCATTCAACAGCAGGGAAAACTTCTACCCATAAAAGCAATTGATGTTATGTAACTGTGTATGAAGATACATCAAGCATTTCCGAGAGCCTAGCTGTCAAACGATCTAATCAGCACATGTTGGAGAACCCACGCAACTGAGCCCGAATAAATAACTTGGCTTGTGGACTATTTAACTGATAAGATGGATTTGTTGAGTTATTCATAACTTTTACAAAAGAATTCCTGCATAAAACTGGCATCGACATTGATTTTACCAAAGAAGGTGCATAGTGCATCTATATTCGAAAGCCAGTGCATCTACCTAGGGGTGAAAAAATTGTAAAAGAATAAGAACACTAAAATTGATCAGGAAGAGGTTAAGACAAGAAGAACCTGGTTTTGCATCAGGAAAGTGGCTCAAGCTATATGAAACAGGAATGGTCCTTGAACTTATGTCAAGAGTTTTACTCTCAGAGCCTTGGGGATATTCAACTGTAGCTGGACTCTGATTACACTTTAAGTTCATAGAGATCTCCAAGAACGAGTCAACTAGTGCATTAGCAAACTCCATGTCGTTAATGTGATGTGGGAAAACTTTGACCTATGAACAAACAAAAGTTATCCTTCAACACGCAACTGGCATCGAACCTAGAAAATAGGCAACGCTCAGGACCATTAACAATTTATATGATGAGCAGAGATTGAACCTCTCGATTTTCATTTGTCTCAATTAGCCTCTGCATTTCAACTACAAGAGCACCAGTAGCATCAGGGTCATAGAAGGCCTTGCCTGGTGCATCCAATGCTGAGACACCCATCTTTGGTAGGCAAACACAAACCTTAGAAGATGACTTATTTAACTTTTCCGCAATAAATGCAGCAATTTTTTTATTTTCCTCTACTGTAGTTCGCATTAGTGTAACCTGAGAATGAAACACCACATAGGAACATGAGTGCGCTTCAGATTTATTATAACTAGATCCAAAATATCTCAATGGAGAAAACAACCAATGAAGTCAAAGATTAATATCTTGAAACGATTTGAGCAAAAAAAATCTGTTTTGTAGGCAAAAATGAAAAATCCTGATCAAGCACTATGATTAAAAATGTGACCTGAAAAATTAATTACCTTGGTACTTTACAGCTATTGTCCGCACTATGTTAAGAAGCTTTCGCAGCATTTTAGATAGTTTACAAAATAAGTTGATGATGTGTCAGAGGATACATAGGGAACAGGATAAAGGGAATGGCTGAACTATCACCTGGTCATTGTGTTCATAAATCTTCCTGTCCTGAAATTTCGAGGGTATGGTATCCTTTGGTCCAAAGTTCACCATGTCCAATGCTCCAATACTGAGAACTAAAGGTATCTTCTTTTCTAACATGGAATCAAAACGGGAACTTTCACATGCCATGACTCCTCCAACTATATAATCAGCCACTTCAGTTGTTGTGATATCCAATACACCCTGTGGGAAAGAAAGATGAGAACAATTTTTATAATCCATCCACAACCAAAAATTTTAGGCCAGACCAAACTCCATTGGACCTGAGTGAAGTGCCAAACTAATCGAGTATCTTCATTCTTGAACAACATAGCAAACCAGCACTTTAACATATCTATTCCGATATATATTTCATCTGTGAGTTCACTAGTTTAACGTTTATTATAGTAATTAATTATGACAATAGTCGAATTATCTGAAACATATCCAAGTTATATTATCACGTTTCAACAGCTAAATCCTCTCTACTTCATTGTCCACCATTAAACCAAAAGCGGTACAATATAATCATGGTGTGCACAGCTCACTAGTCACTTCAATAAGCTAAGACTTACAGATTTGATTTTTCTTTTTAAGAGAAAAAAAAAGTACAAGGAAGAAGGACAAAAAATAGGAGAGATGGAATGTTTATGTGGATGAATAACCTGTATAAATCCTCCTCTAACAAGATCCTCCATAGCTCTCCCCCCAACCCCAGTAGCATGAAAAACCAAAGTCTCATACCCTTCTCGACTCAATCTCTCCTTTACAGCATCGACACATGGAGTGGTAACCCCAAACATAGTTATACCGATTGTGCCCTTCTCACCACCATCACCAGCAGTGGGTTTTTTCAACATTTCAAGATTTCCAATCACCATCCCAGCAAAAGCAGCACCAGCATTCGAAAACACAGCCCTACTCACGCTGTTAATGCCACAAACATCCACCACAGATGGAAATAACACCAAATCAGATGTTCCAATATAGGGTTCAGTCTGGCCACTAGCTACAGTCGACACAATCACTTTTGGGATCCCAACAGGAAGAGACCTAAAGGCTGACGACATTAAAGATGTTCCTCCACTCCCCCCAAGACCTATAACTCCAGCAAGAACACGGTCAGCATGATATTTACTGATGAAGATCTGAAGTGCTTTGCTCATAACGGCAATGGCTCTGCCTCTATCATCTGGAAGAAGGGCTTCGTGTTGCTGTAAGCAAGAGAGGACTTCTTTTCTCGTCACAAATCTGAAATCTTCGAAATTTGTGACTTCTTTTTCGCTAACTGAGACATCTATGACTGTCACAACTAACTGCACACATATGAAACAGAGTGGGTGAATTCGACAATAATTTCACCTCAAACTCTATCATCCATCTGCATAAATTACAGTTTTCATTATCGAACATCAAACAACTCACAATCTTCATCAAGACAATACCAAATACAACACAATCCAAGCAAACAAAAAACCTGGCATCGTACACATCAATACATCATGCTTCTAAAAACCTAAGGTAAACAACAAAACTCACCCCCCCTCCCGAGACAAGCAACGAGATTCTGGTTCATCTTACACAGGACATGGAAACATTATCAGGACAAACATTAATTTAGCAACGAGAAATTTCATAAACAAAGGAACATATTACCACCTTTGCTGAAGGGTGAGCTGAAAAGAGTTGGAGATTGGATCGAACAGAGTGGGCAAGGAATCGAAGTTCCTCAAACTTTGTATCAGCAGTTCCGATGCAGAAGACGTGATGCTTTTTTTTCCCCTGAATCGCCATTTTCTCAAGAAACTATTGCATCCGATTAATATCGGATTTCGCTGAAAATGAGTGATTTATAAAAGGGGTTAGAGGAACATGGAAAGTAAAATGAACAAAAAAAGTAAAGAACACGTGATTTCGCTGATCTGTTGGGAGATCGACAAGACAAGGAAAGAATTTCTCCAAGAGTTATAACTAACAAGTAGTGTGTGATAGTAGTAGCTCGAATTTTAGCTAGGTGCTCGTATGTTTTTATACTACTATGTAATTATGTATTGATGTTTGCTAGTGTTTGTTTTTATGTGTGTCATGCCTCCATTGTGTTTGTGTACAATGAGGTGTTGGGGTCCTTATTTATGGGTGAAAAAAAGGTAGAATGTAATTATAGCATATTGCCAGCTTGATGGCTAGGTGAATGACGTGTGGTGCCATGTAGGACTTTGTCTTTTGAAAATAGGGCGCATATTCTTCAAACTTGCAAGACACGGCCGATTTGGACGGTGAAACAAGACATTTTGTGCGGTGGTTTCACCGTCTTTAGCGGCTTTACGGGTTTGGTCTGTCAAAGAGAGTTCATATGATGCAGATCGATCGACACTTATCGATATTGGACGATCGAGTAATCGGCAAATCCTCTTTTCATGTTTGGGCCGATAATGAGAAGGTTTGTAGGGTACATTGGCCTTGCTTGGACATTGGGAGTTTTGTTGTTAATGGGCGTGTTTCCCTCCTAACTTTACAGGTTTTTTTGTGATGCTTTTATAATATATGCAACAAGAAAAATGATACATTGCCAACCCAGTGTACAACTAGATTGACAACTTAAGTGAAAATATCCAAAAAATAAAAATAAAAAAATACACAAATGAATGTTACTACTTGTGTTGTCAACCTAGTTGTACATTATGTTGACACTGTAACATTTCCCATGCAACAAATAATAAATTTGCGAACAACGGTAATTATTTAAGGGAATGAAATGATTGACTAAATAATGGTGATTTTCATAACTATTTGACATTAAAAAAATGTTCAAATGATATTGAGAATTAAGGATGGTAACTATTAAAAATGTTCAAAATTATGAAATGCTGCCATATAAGATCACGAAGCGTGTGAGTCTGTCAATTAGAGTCTAACATGTTCAAGAATTATACAGGGAAATGAGAACTTCAGAAGGTCACATGCACAATTAATAAAGGCATTAGACCGTTTCGTACATGTATTTATTTGTTTTGTTGTTCTTGTCACTAGTGAGCAACCCGTGCGATGCACGTGAGGCTTGTTCCTCAAAACCTATTTAAAACTTTATTTTTAAATATAATTACTAAAGTTTAAACATTTTATTTTGGCAAAAAAATAGATACAGAGTATGAAAAATCATATATTATTGAACAGTTCCCTATACACAATATTTTTTATTTGAATATGTGGCAAACTTTCTTGTCAACAAATTAAAATTTTCAAACAATTGTGTGAAAAAAATTAAATTATAATATATTATTTATAGTGTAAGAAATCGTAATATATTATTTTTAGTGTGATAAAATGTGTTGGGATAACTATGACCATTTGAAAAAATATTTAATAGTAATCTTAAAACTTTAATAAATTTAAAAAGATAAATATGACCATTTGAAGAAATATTTATTTGTAATCTTAAAATTTTAAATTTTGATAAATGATTGTATATATGCGCCAAGTTTTTAGGAACCAATTGATCATATAATATAAATTCTTATATGATTTCCAGAGTCTTACGAACGTGACTTGAACTTCATTTTTTAATTTCAAATTTAAACAAATCAAAAGACAAATTATTAGGTAGTTATGAAAAAAAGTATCCAACAAACTATTTTTTAATTTCAAATTTAACAAATTAGAAGACAATTATTAGGTAGTTATGAAAATAGTCTCCAACAAACTTCAAATTAAACGACACACAACCATCAGATCTAGAGTTGGTTGCAGTCGGTGATCACCACCCTTCTCGAGGTCCGGTGGCTCCCCGACCCGACATTCTCCACCGCCTTCAATATGTCGTACTCCTCCATCACCTGCCCGAACACCACGTGCTTGTTGTCAAGCCACTTCGTCCTTGTCGTGCAGATGAAAAAATACGTGTCATTTGTCCCCGGAACAGCCTTCGCCATTGACAGGTCCCGGTGTGCTTTCTCATGATGTTCTCGTCGGTAAACTTGGCGTCGTAGATCGACTTGCCGTCGTTACCCGCAGTGAAGTCACTGCTCTGACAAATGAAATTGGGGATTATACGATGGAAGGATGACCCTTTGTGGTGGAGGGGCTTGCCAGATTTGCCGACGTCCTTCTCGTTGGTGCATAGGGCACAAAAGTTCTCATCGGTCTTCGTGACGACGTCGGCGAAGAGCTCCATCACGATTCAACGGCGGGGCTGCTGATCGTTATGTCGAAGTAAACCCTAGAATTCGATAGGTTGATTTGAATTTTTTATTTAGGAGTTTTTTGTGATTTTTTTTTATTTGTGACTAACTGATTTTTTTTTTGGTCTCAAACTTAGGGTTTTGTAATTGGGTGGGGAGGGGTTTATATAAGGGTCGATTGAGTGCAAACTTTAAAAAGATGGATTCTTTCTAAACTTTAAGAAGATATTGTAGTTAGATAAATATGGAGAAAAAAGTATTTACCAGGAATTCACATAATATGAGATTCTTTCCAAACTTTAAAAAGATTTTGTAGTTTAATAGATATGGACAAAAAAATATCCATAGATAGAGATTTACCCAGATTTTCAAACCTTTTTTTATATATATATATAAATCAATTTGTGCTTTGGGTGGGAATTTACGGTTTTTTTTAATAAATTCATTATCAGTAAAAACGAAAATTTAGGCGGGATTTTACATACTATTCACAGCTAAATGGTTTGCCTTTTTATATATTCATAGATATATATTTAAGTTGTGAATTTTTTAATATTATATGATTATATGGCTAAAAATATGTTAGTTTCAATCAAATAAGTCATATATTATTTCAGTTAAAGAATATAAACCACCAAAAAATAGAAAAGTAGTTAGGATATATGTCATAAAATAATGTAATTTATTATTTTTAAGAATAACAAATCAATATATTTACACACAAAATTCATAAATATAAATAATTTATGGATTAGTATAACATCCATTATTCTCGGAACAACTTTATGTTTGATTTGCAACATTAATTTGAATGAAAAAAATCCGTAACTGTGGGAATATCTTGATTCAAAATCTCAATTTTTTGGCATAAGAATCTCCAAATTTGTTACCAATAAAAATGAGATTCGTATTGATGAAATGAATTAAAGTTTGGCATAAGAATTTCCAAATTTGTTACCTTAAGAATCTCCAATTTTTTTGGGATATCTCATAAAATTTGATTCCTAAAGAAAATAAGTTATTTCAATCAAATAATTCATATATTATTTCAATTAAAGAATATAAACCACCAAAAAATAGAGAGGATGTTAGGATTTAGGTCATAAAATAATGTAATTTATTATTATCTAAGAAAACCAATCAATATATTTACACACAAAATTCATAAATATAAATAATTTATGGAGAATTGGAGTTTATCAATATTTAGTATAATATCCATTATTCTCGGAACAATTTGTTGTTTGATTTGCAACATTAATTTGAATGGAAAAAAAATCCATAATTGTTGGGATATCTCAATTCAAAATTTCAATTTTTGCCATAAAAATCTCCAAGTTTGTTACCTATAAAAATGAGATTCGTATTTATGAAATGAATTAAATTTGGCATAAAAATCTCCAAATTTGTTACCTTAAGAATCTCAAATTTTTTTGGGATATCTCACTTAAATTTATTTCCTGTAGAAAATAAGTTGTTTTAATCAAATAAGTCAAATATTATTTCAATTAAAGAATATAAACCACCAAAAAATAGAAAAGAAGTTAGGATTTAGGTCCTATAATAATGTAATTTAGTATTATTTAGGAAAAAAAATCAATATATTTACACACAAAATTCATAAATATAAATAATTTATAGAGGATTGGAGTTTATCAATATTTAATACAACATCCATTATTCTCGGAACAATATTTTGTTTGATTTGATACATTAATTTGAATGGAAAAAAAAAATCGTAATTGTTGTGATATCTCAATTCAAAATTTCAATTTTTTGGCATAAGAATCTCCAAATTTGTTACCAATAAAAATGAGATTCGTATTTTTTAAATGAATAAAATTTTGGCATAAGAATCTCCAAATTTGTTACCTTAAGAATCTCCACATTTTTTGGGACATCTCCCTTAAATTTGATTTCTAAAGATTCACATGTGCTTTTTTCAAAATTTCTACTAATAGTAAGTCAACACTTTATTTTTAAAGTCAAAGTTACTATTTTTGTATTTTTCCAACAACCTCTTTATATTAATATAGATATTTTATTTTTTCAAACGTCTGATTCTCTTAGGTTTATATGAAACAAAGTTCAATCAAATCAAAATTGATTTTTATGCCCACACTAAAACTTTATCAATATGATATGTTTATTTTATTTATTTTTTTTTTTTCAAATCCACAACTCAAATTTTCGAGAGAGAGAAAAAAAAGGAAACAAAATCTTATCAAACCTTATCAAATTTTCGAGAGAGGAAAAAAAACAAAAAGAAAATTGGAAACAAAATCTTATCAAACCTTATCAATAATAAAGATACTTGTTTCCATGAAAAGCTAACAAAATCCCGTGGTTACCATAATCCTATCAAATTAGTTAACAAAATCCCATTAAATTGGTTAACAATATTGGAACGCATTTTGTTGGGAAAGATTTACGTAATTTATCTAGTTAATTAATATCATATTAACGTGTGAGCCCAGTGATATTAATTTAGTGTAGCATCCATTATCTCGGAATAATTTTTTGTTTGATTTACAACATTAATTTGAATGAAAAAAAAATCCGTAATTGTTGAGATATCTCAATTCAAAATCTCAATTTTTTGGCATAAAAATCTTCAAGTTTGTTACAAATAAAAATAGATTCCTATAGGAGTAATATTTAAAATGAATTAAATTTTGGTTTAAGAATCTCCAAATTTGTTACCATAAGAATCTTCAATTTGTTACCATAAGAAACCCATAAAAATCTCCTATGGATTGGAGTTTATCAATATTTAGTATAACATCCATTATTCTCGGAATAATTTTTTGTTTGATTTACAACATGAATTTGAAGGGAAAAAAATCCAAAATTGTTAGGATATCTTAATTCAAAATATCAATTTTTTGGCATAAGAATCTCCATTTTGTTACCATAAGAATCTCATAGTTTATCAATAGTTGGTATAACATCCATTATTTTTGGAATAATTTTTTGTTTGATTTACAACATTAATTTGAGTGGAAAAAAATCCGTAATTGTTGGAATATCTCAATTCAAAATCTCAATTTTTTGGCATAACAATCTTCAAATTTGTTACCAATAAAAGTAGATTCTTAGGATTAATATTTAAAATGAATTAAATTTTAGTATAGGAATCTCTAAATTTGTTACCATAAAAATCTCCAATTTTTTTGGGATATCTCAATTAAATTTGTTATCATAAAAATCTCAATTTTTTTTGGTACATGTGTTTTTTTCAAAATTTCCATTAATAGTAAGTCAAATCATTTATTTTTTAGTCAAACTTACTATAAAAGTATTTTTCCAACAACCTCTTTATATTACTATAGATATGACCTTATAAATGCGAGTTAAATTTCAAGTTGGACCAACATTAAAGAGCAAAGATGTAAAGGTAAGAAAACGGGCAATTTAAGTTATTTGTCACATAAATGCCATAGAAGCATCACAAGTTTCATATTTTACAGGACAATTTGAGTAAGCAACATTTCACCACCGATGTGTTGGTGAGCATTCCCAAAAAAATCGTACGATTCCAATGGAAATGCAATTGATGGCTGACTGCCTAAAAGAACAAAAATACCCCCAAATAGTCCAATTAACATAACCATAACACACAATTTGAAATGCAAGCCACACCAGACCACCAATTTTTTACTTTTATCATTTACTCTTTTATTCAACAAATTTAACTCTGGTTTCTAGAGATCTCCAAGAACGAGTCCACCAATGCATTAGCAAATTCCAGATCATTGATATGGTTTTCAAACACTTTCACCTGCATATTCGTAAAACAAATATGAATTAGAATGATACTAAAGAGAGTATATGAAAAAAAAAAAAAAAAAAAAAAAAAAAAAAAAAAAAAAAAAAGATTTTGTAATTAGATTGGGATCCAAGAAATCGACAATCATATATAAGTCGTACCTGACGATCTTTACTTGTTTCAATTAGGCATTGCAATTGCTGTATAAGAACACCGGTCGCATCAGGGTCATGGAACGCTTTGCCAAGTGCATCCATGGCAGAGACTCCCAGTTTGGGCAGACACACACAAACTTGTGACGATGACTTGTTTAACTTGTTCGCTATAAACGCTGCAAACTTCTTATTTTCTTCCATTGTAGTTCTCATTATCGTTATCTAGATTCAACACGAACTAACTATGGTTAACTCAAGTGAATGGCTAAACTACGAAAAACTATCCGAGATGTCTAACATTATTATGAACATAAATTCTGGTTTGTCATTCAAATTCACGAGTACTCTCATTGATTCCAAATTACGAGGCAAATGCTAATGTTTTATATATAATTTACAAAAGAAATGTCAAAATTCCCATGAAATTATATATAGTCTTAAGTCTCAAGATTAGTTTATTAAGTTGACCTGGTTGTGAACAAGGTAAATCATTATTGAAACAAAAACTGAGGAAATTTTGATATAGAGAACTAGGTAATGGACATCTTGTATAGTAAATTGTCACCTGCTCATTGTGCTTATGAAGCTTTCTTTGTTGAAATTTAGAGGGTATGGTTTCTTTAGGACCTAAAGCCACCATATCCAGCGCCCCTACACTTAGAACAAGAGGTAGCTTCTTCTCTAATATGGCATCAAATCGGAAACTATCGCAAGCCATAATTCCTCCCACGATATAATCAGCAACCTCAGTCGTTGTAATGTCCAAAACACCCTACAAAGTCCAGAATGAGGAGGAAAATACATTAGTCATGATTTCCATCTACAAAAGAAGTTAAGCCATTATCTTTATTATTATTATTATTATTATTATTATTATTTTTCATATACCTGTATGAGCCCTTCTCTAACAAGACCCTCCATAGCCTTCCCTCCAACCCCACTTGCATGAAAAACCAAGCACTCGTAACCTCCGCGCTCCAATCTCTCTCTAACAACATTAACACAAGGAGTCGTGACCCCATACATCGTTATACCAACCATAGCCTTCTCAACCTTATTACAACCACCAACCGACCCATCAAAACTCGTCAACCGACCCATCACCATCCCTACAAAAGCAGCCGCAGCATTGGTTAGCACAATCTCGCTCACTCTATTAACCCCACAAATATCCACCACAGACGGGAATAAAACCAAATCCGACGTCCCAACGTAATGCGACGTGTCTCCACTAGCCATGGTGGACACGATGACTTTAGGGACTCCCATAGGAAGAGACCGAAAAGCGGATGAGAGTAAAGAGGTCCCACCCGAGCCACCGAGCCCGATGACTCCGGTGAGAAGTCCGTTTGCATGGGATTTCCGAAGCATTTTGTCGAGAGCCTTGTTCATGATGCCTACGGCTTCTCCTCTATCGTTTGGAAGTATTGTGTCGAGTTGTGCGGCAGAAAGGACAGTCGCTCTTGATACGAATTTGAAGTTACTGCAGTTGGTGACTTCTTTCGGACCGGATGACACGTCGATCACTGTAACTGTTACCTGCCTCGACAGTGGAAATATATTATAGTTTTTCGAACACGTAAAACAATTATATGCATTATTAAGAAGAGTGTATATACAACACATTAGCACTTAACATATAAAGCAGAAGTTCTATGGGGGTGGAATATGAAGAAACGGGTGTTGACGGGTGCAGTTCCACGGATGTGAAGCGCACCAAAGCAGGGTGAGTTTAGATGGACCTTAGTGGGTTTCCATCCTAAAATCAATTAGTGGTAGGTGGAGTAGCCCACTAGGCTTATAAATTAGTCATACAACTCACAAGTGTATATTCTAACAGAAACCTCTCGATCTCCCAGTCTCGTAGTCGTTGATGATCTTAGGCAGCACAAATAACGAAAAAAAAAATCACATCCAGTGAAANAACATGATGATAAATGTTAGAATAAAATAAAAAGTGTATCAATAAAAAAAAAAGTATGTTGCTGCTCTTTTGAAAGGAATAAACCATAGTTTTTAAACCCGGCCCGATGATCGACTCGGGCAGGTCCTCGGGTCACCGGGTCACCGGTTCAACCGTCGGGTCACCGGGTCAATTGCTGAACCGGATAATTAATTTTAAAATTTTTAAAATTGTATATATAGTATTTTTGTTATATAAATATACATAAAAATAATAAAATTAAATGTTTTGTGTATAAAATTTGTATATTAAAGTGTTAATAATATGTATCTCATGATAAATATTTACCATAAAAACATATATACATAGTTTTATTTATAAAAAATAAAAAAAATATAAAAAAATATAGAAAATATATATGGACCGGGTCAACTGGGTTGACCCGGCCGGGTCAATGACCCGGGTCGACCGAGTCTCGGCCGGGTCGGCCGGGTTTTGACCGGGTCCTTGGTTGCCCGGTCCAAATACTCCACCCGGACCGGTTCCAGCTCTGGGTCGACCGGGTCCCGGGCCGGTCCGGGTCACAAAACAGTGGAATAAACTACATGATTTCTTTATAATAAATAAAAGTAAATACATGCATTTATATATATCTTGATTATTACTTATTAAAAAACTCACTAAGTGCTACATATTTCTTATAAATTTTAGCCTAACCTTTAAGAAACTATGGGAAAAACGGGTGCGGACCCACTATCATGAAGCGCACCATGAACGGGGAAAGCTCATATGAAGCCCAAGTGAGATTCCATCCCAAAATCAATTGTTGGAAGGAGTAGCCCATTAGACTTATAAGGTGGGTCTATTTTCTATGTATGAACAATGTAGGACAACTCACAAGTGATATTCTAACACGCCCCCTCACTTGTGAGTCCTTCGAAAAGCCTAAGCCCAACTGGGCAACTCACAAGTGATATTCTAACACGCCCCCTCACTTGTGAGTCCTTCGAAAAGCCTAAGTCCAACTGGGCTGAGAGACGGGTACGTCATCGCACAATCACCAATAGAACCGGCTTTGATATCATGACAAAAACTAGGGGGAAAACGAAAATGGGTGCGGGCCCACTATCATGAAGTGCACCATGAACGGAAAAAGCACATATGAAGCCCAAATGAGGTTCCATCCCAAAACCAATTGGTAGAAGGAGGAGTAGCCCATTAGACTTATAAGGTAAGTCTATTTTTCATGTATGAACGATGTGGGACAACTCACAAGTGATATTCTAACATAACCAATCCAAACTCCAAATTAAAAGAATTAAAATTTGAACGAAAGAAAATTACTTGATCTTATATATGTTTTTCTTGGATTATAAAGGGGTGATTGGTAATGAGTTAAAACTGATTACCCGAACTCAAAATCTCTCAATCTCATTATTTATATTATTATTATTATTATTATTATTATTATTATTATAATTAAATACTATTGAATATTATCAATAATTTCTCTCGTACATCACATCAACTTTAATTCACTCACTACAAGAAAATAATGAAATTCCAACGAAAAATTCCAAAGGGAATATATTTCAACGACAATTTCAATGGGTATTGAAATGCTATTATTTTCGTTGGAATTTTTCAATGGATTACAGCGAAGTATTTCTATTGAAATTTCCGTTTGATTTTTATGATTCCAACGGTAGATTTTTCAAGAGTCGAAATATGGATGAAAATAAAAATTTCAACGAAGCATATTCTAACAAAAATTCCTACGGTAAAAAATCATTGAAAATAGCCGTTGTAATCATCAAACTCCATCTAAAGTTTCAATAAAACTCATTCCAACGAATATTTTCATTGGAATGATTCCGCTATATCATTGAAACTAGTACAGTCCCCGTGCGATGCACGAGGGTTTATTATCTCCGATCCTTTTATAATGCAATGTTTAGTTAAAATTCAAAGTACTTACTAAAGGAAAGTTCATGCCATTAATAATTAATAAATTAATAAATACAATGAAAATAAAAAATATATATTATTGAACACTTCCTTATATACAACGTTCATGATTTGATTCTTTGGCACATCATCGTCACCACAAATTAGGACTTTCAAACCCATTTCTGTTTGTGACACGGGAGACAACAACATACAACTGACCATGACTAAACACTGGTTTCTTAAGAAATAAGCCCACATGCGATAATGATTGTTCCTGGCTCTTATTTATAGTCATTGCTTAAGAAAACATAATGGGAAACAACCAATCCAATAACATCTACAAAAATATAAGAAAATGCATCATATTGAAATGTATAACATATAAAATAGTTTATTACAGATTTTAAATTAAAAAAAAAATCAAAATAAGAAATAAAAACAATTATAACGTACCAAACAACATGGCTTCATCAATGTTACGAACATCCATTAAAGTTAGAAAGTTCCTAAAGTCAAAAAGATGCATAGGAAAATCACCCCTCCATTTGATAATCTTGGTTTGACCATTGATAATGACAATAATGCTAAGGAGCCAACTGTTGGCTCCGTTATGGAGCCAACAACCAATGAGACAGCTCCATGTGGGGCTGTCCCACATTGGAGCCATGTGGGACAGCCCCACATGGAGCTGTCCCAATGGCTGTTGGTTCCGTTAAGTTGGCTCCTTAGCATTACTATTGATAATGATCCTCCATTTTCCTATCATCGATTTATAGATACCAATATTACTTTCCACTTGATAGTTTGTCAAGATATAAGCGTCACCTTCTTCAATATCGCCGATGAATTATTGGATATTGACAGGTCGAATTATGTCAGTAATTCATCTTCCCTAAAACGTTACATAATGTAATTCAATAAATAAATTATAAAAGATGTTGCATAAAATGATGCATTTAAATAATATAATCTCAAGAACATTTCGGTAATTGCGTACGTTTTCAACTCGTTGGAACATCCTAATTATGCGTAGTTTGATTGGTGGCTTATTGGATCTTTTGATATCCTTGATTACTCCAAAATCCTAAGCTATTTTCAATGATGTAAAAGCTTGTAGAAAAATTTGTTTTGTGGGATGTATTGGATGTCGAATATTTTTTGTTCAACGTTGGTGATGTTTATATAGTCATGTGTATGTGTTGTATGTCCTGGAAATAAAAAAATATTTACATAAGGTATTTAATATGATCCAATCCGATTTCTTTTATTATGATTATGATTGACTTCTAAAAATATGTGCTATCGGTTCTGTTAAAAAAATAAAGAAAAATGTGGAACGTGATTCACTTGTGACGGACGAACGAATATTTAGAAGATTATGTTGCCAAAAATAATGGAGTTTATTACAATGAAATTTGGTAAGACTTTTTAGATAGATTGAAAAATAATATTTTTATTTTGATATTTTCCTATTTCTTTGGACAAATCCAAAACTTTAACTTACGAAAATATAATCTTTAATTTTTTGAAACGTGTAAAATTTTCTAAGATAACTTCTATAAAACAAAATGTGATCAAATCCACAACTCAAATTTTTGAGAGAGAAAAAAAAGGAAACAAAATCTTATCAAACCTTATCAAATTTTCGAGAGAGGAAAAAAAAAATTGAAAACAAAATCTTATCCAATCTTATCAATATTGAAGATACGTGTTTCCATGAAAAGCTAACAAATTCCGTGGTTACCAAAATCCTATCAAATTAGTTAACAAAATCCCATTAAATTGGTTAACAATATTGGAACACATTTTGTTAGGAAATATTTACGTAATTTATCTATAATTAATTTCATATTCACGTGTGGGCCCAATAATATTACTTATATTAGTAAGTCAATTTTTTTTCAAGTCAAAGTTACTATTTTTATATTTTTCCAACAACCTCTTTATATTACTATAGATATAGATATAAATACAAATATATATATATATATATATATATATAGAATGTAATTATGAATGATTAAAAGTCATTTAGTTATTTATTATTTATTTATTTTTACGTTTAGTGATAGCAATTATATGATTGCCGATTGGTACCATAATTTAGTTTTAATTAGTGCTAATGACAAATATTAGTTTTTACATGCTGGTTGCATCATCATCATCAGAGCATCCTAAATCTGTAGATGCTGTTTAGATTAATATTAAGTAGTACATCATAAATCTGTAGTTGATTTTGTGAATGCATATATGTTTAAGGTAAAGCATATATATGGATGTCGATTGGGTTCTACATTTTAAAGTTGCTCATAGTGCTAATGAGTAATATAAGTTTTTACTACATGTCGGTGTATCATCATCTAAAATTAAGAATCCTACATCTCGAATTGTACTTTTGAAGAATTTTTATTAATAATTATTAAATTATTAATATAAATTGTTAGTTGGGGAAATGAGAGTATTTTTTTTCACAGAACTTTACATGATGGACGGGATTTTAATACTTATAAGCTAATATTCCTTTAATTATTATATTAAGTAATATATAGATAAGCTAAGCACATGTGTTGGAGTCTTATCTATAGTAATATAAAGAGGTTGTTGGAAAAATACTTTTATAGTAAGTTTGACTAAAAAAAATAAATAGTTTGACTTACTATTAATGGAAATTTCGAAAAAAACACATGTACCAAAAAAATTGAGATTTTTATGGTAACAAATTTGGAGATTTTAATGGTAACAAATTTAATTGAGATATTCCAAAAAAATTGGAGATTTTTATGGTAACAAATTTGGAGATTCCTATACCAAAATCTAATTCATTTTAAATATTAATCCATATGAATCTACTTTTATTGGTAACAAATTTAAAGATTGTTATGCCAAAAAATTGAGATTTTGAATTGAGATATTCCAACAATTACGGATTTTTTTTCCTATTCAAATTAATATTGTAAATCAAACAAAAAATTATTCCAAAAATAATGGATGTTATACCAACTATTGATAAACTCCAATCCCATAGGAGATTTCTATGGGATTCTTATGGTAACAAATTGAGATTCTTATGCCAAAAAATTGAGATTTTGAATTGAGATATCCTAACAATTTCGGATTTTTTCCCCTTCAAATTCATGATGTAAATCAAACAAAAAATTATTCCGAGAATAATGGATGCTATACTAAATATTGATAAACTCCAAGCCATAGGAGATTTTTATGGGTTTCTTATGATAACAAATTGAAGATTCTTATGATAACAAATTTTGAGATTCTTATACCAAAATTTAATACATTTAAATATTAATCCCACATGAATCTATTTTTATTGGTAACAAATTTGAAAATTCTTATGCCAAAAAATTGAGATTTTGAATTGAGATATCTCAACAATTACGGATTTATTTCCATTCAAATTAATGTTGTAAATCAAAAAAATAATTATTCTGAGATAATGGATGCTATACTAAATTAATATCACTGGCCCACACGTTAATATGATATTAATTAGATAGATAAATTACGTAAATTTTTCCTAACAAAATGCGTTCCAATATTGTTAACCAATTTAATGGGATTTTCTTAACTAATTTGATAGGATTTTGGTAACCACGGGATGTTGTTAGCTTTTCGTGGAAACACGAATCTTCATTATTGATAAGGTTTGATAAAATTTTGTTTCCTTTTTTTTTTCCTCTCTCAAAAATTTGATAAGTTTTGATAAGATTTTGTTTCCTTTTTTTTCTCTCTCTCGAAAATTTGAGTCGTGGATTTGAAGAAAAATAAATAAATAACATAAACATATCATATTGATAAAGTTTTAGTGTGGGCATAAAAATCAAATTTGATTTGATTGAACTTTGTTTCATATAAACCTAAGAGAATCAGACGTTTGAAAAAATAAAATATTAATAGTAAATAATCATACCATATTTGTAAGGTTTGATTTGGAATATTGAGGCATAAAATTCAATTATGATTTGATCACATTTTGTTTTATAGAAGTTATCTTAGAAAATTTTACATGTTTCAAAAAATTAAAGATTATAATTTTGTAAATTAAAGTTTTGGATTTGTCCAAATAAATAGATCAAAATAAAAATATTATTTTTCAATCTATCCAAAAAGTCTTACCAAATTTCCTTGTAACAAACTCCATTATTTTTAGCTACATAATCTTCTAAATATTCGTTCGTCCCTCACAAGTGAATCACATTCCACATTTTTTTTTTATTTTTTTAACAAAACCGATAACACATATTTTTAGAAGTTAATCATGATCATAATAAAGAAAATCGGATCGGATCATATTAAATACCTTACGTAAATATTTTTTTATTTCCTAGACATATGGCACATACACATGACTATATAAACATCACCAACGTTGAACAAAAAGTATTCGACATCCAATATATCCCACAAAACAATTTTTTCTACAAGCTTTTACATCACCATTGAAAATGGCTTCGGATTTTGGAGTAATCAAGGATATCAAAAGATCCAATAAGCCACCAATAAAGCTACGCATGATTAGGATGTTCCAACGAGTTGAAGACGTACACAATTACCGAAATGTTCTTGAGATTATCTTTTATGATTTTGAGGTAATATATTCATTTAGTATTATTTAAATGCATCATTTTATGCAACATCTTTTATAATTTATTTATTGAAGTATTCATTATGCAATGTTTTAGGGAGGATGAATTACTGGCATAATTCGACCTGTCAATATCCAAAAAATCATCGGTGATATCGAAGAAGGTGGCGTTTATATCTTGACAAACTATCAAGTGAATAGCAATACTGGCATCCATAAATCGACGATAGGTAAAAGGAGGATCATTATCAATGGTCAAACCAAGATTATCAAATGGAGGGGTGATTTATCAAATGGAGAGGTGATTTATCAAATGGAGGGGTGATTTCTCTATTTCTAACTTTAATGGATGTTCGTAACATTGATGAAGTCATGTTGTTTGGTACGTTATAATTTTTTTGTTTATTTCTTATTTCAATTTTTTTAATTTAAAATCTGTAATAAACTATTTTATATGTTATACATTTCAATATGATGCATTTTTCTTATATTTTTGTAGATGTTATTGGATTAATTGTTTCTCATTATGTTTTCTTACAACATGACTATAAACAAGAGTTAGGAACAATCATTATTGCATGTGGGCTTCTTTCTTAAGAAACCAGTATTTAGTCATGGTCAATTGTATGTTGCTGTCTCCCGTGTCACAAACAGAAATGGGTTTGAAAGTCCTAATTTGCGGCGATGATGACGTGCCAAAGAATCAAACCATGAACGTTGTATATAAGGAAGTGTTCAATAATATATAGATTTTATTATCATTGTATTTATTAATTAATTTATTATTAATGGCATGATCTTTCCTTTAGTAAGTATTTTGAATTTTAACTGAGCATTGCTTTATAAAAGGGACGAAGATAATACAGGACTGTACTAGTAGATAAGTATCTGAACGTTTTTATCTACAGATAAGGGATTTAAAACAACGTGTTGCAAGCATTTTAAACAATTTAGTATGAAATTTTCCAAAAATTCAAACGATTCGAAAAAGGTGGTATATTCTGAAAATTTTCAAAATAATTTACTATTTTTAGTAAATTTATAGGTGGGATTTTAGATGATTTTTTAGTTACTATTTAAGTATTTTTTAGGTTATCTCTTTATATATTAATAGATATCTGTTAGAATTCCCTTTGAAATATATTATCGTGGGATTTTCCGTTGTAATATGGCTATTAATTTTTAGTGACTATTTATCGACTTTCACGTTTTTAAAACGTATCAATTCCATCATCCCGATCTTACTTTTACATCAAATTAATTATAATCATTACATTTTAAATATTTATTTAACTACAATCTCTCTCATCCCACCTTATCAACTTTATTCTAAATAATTCACTATCAATATTATTAAATAATATCACTCTGCTACATTACATCAACTTAAATTCTCACTATTCATTCATTCATATATTTTTAACTAAGTATTACTCTATCATCTTTTTTTATCACATCAAATTTAATCATAATTTTAAGTATTTTTAATTATAGTCTCTCTTTTCCCACCCTATCAACTTTATTCAAAATAATTAACTTTAACCCATGATCGATTTTAATTGGTTTTTAACTTTTTCTTAACTGCTTATCAATTAATATTGGTGAAACGACCACGTTTTAACATCTTCATCAAAAAGTATGTCCCCGCCAAGTCGACATTTCTCAATTGTCAACGCAACCATCTTATTTTTTATTAAATTGACCAGGAAACAGAAAAAAGTTGCTATCAACCGTCACCGTACACGCGATTACACTGTCCATTTTATATTTTTAATTTATTTTTTCTTGGGCAATTGCAGATTCGCAGTCATTAGTTTTTTTATTATTGAGAAAAAAATTGTTATCTCAAATATTATCATCACGATTTTTCATTGCATATAGACCTATACCATTATCAAAATCTACTCTTCAAGAAACTGAATATAATTTACCAAAATATTATATAAATAGTTTTTTTACCTAAAGATTAACCCACTTTCTTTCACAAGGAAATCGTTTTAATAGTTATTATTCTTTTCTTTATGATCTCAAATTTGGTAATTGGTATGCACTAGAATGAGCAGAAGGGATTGTTTGTTATAGACTACTGATTTACTAAGCTAAAATCACTACTTTATCTTATCAAAAAATGTTTAAAGCATATAGCCTCTTAATAAAAAAATAAGAAAATAAAAAATGAGACAACCATAATTCCAAACTAGTAAATCCAAATTTTACAGATTTCTAGTAATGAACAAACGAAAGAATACTACATCAAACTGAAAATTTACCTCCTTTAATGAAGAAAAACTACTCCGAAACTTATGAAGAAGGGATTGAACGGACTCAGCTAGAAACTGGAGTTCTTGAAGCTTTGTATCAGCAGTTGCAACACAATAAACTTCCAACGTACTATGCTCTGTAGTGGCCATTAATTTTCCCAACTAATATGGATTTTGGATCGAATTTTAAGTTGAAGCTGGAAAATATTATTACCAGATGAACAAACTAATTTCTTGATAAGGTTGTCCGAGTGTGTGGTTCAGTGGGTCTCCAAGGCTTAAATTTGTAGCAGTCAAATGATGCTGCTTTTATTTTATTCAGCGTCAAAGACTTGAATTGGCCAGTTTATTTCTTTTTCCTCTTTTGTCCAAATTAACTCAAATGGCAATAGAATTTATGTTCCTTTTGGGATAATTTAATTCATGTGGTGTAAATTAAAGTAATGATTAGTGCTTACGGGAGAATGTAGCATCTTGTCTACCTTGACCGGACCATCTTTGTGTGGACTACAATGAGGACAATGGCGAGAAACTCAGCAACACTGAAGTTCGTCTTCACGAGAAGTAGTAGTACAATGCTGCTTGTTCGATATTTTGTTAGCAAATTAATTATCAAAAATTGGTTCGGTCATATTAACTGATTTTTTTAAGACTAAATAATTGCGTAAAATTTTGTGTAGAAAAAAATATGTCTAAAGTATATATTCATTATATTTTTTTTTCTCAACACTAATTTTGAATGAATAAAGGAATATAAACTAGTAGTGAAAAAACATCTAAAAAATTATCTCCTAAAAACCCTTTTTCAAAATTTTCGCTCAATCCCAGTTCAACCTAGTCGTCGGCCTCCTCCCCAGTGGGGCGTTCCGCGCCGCTGTCGTTGATTGTCTGTGCGCCCAATCTCTCGTCGTGTAGTGAGCCTCTCGGCCAGTTGGAGCCTCGTCGAGCCGCAGTTCTTTGTCTTCAGGCTGGCTCTTCGTGCTCGAGGTGGTTCCGGCTTTTCGATGGCGTGGGCGGACGACTTGCTCTGATTTCTACCTGGCAGAAGTTGGACCCGAGGTTAGACCTTCATTTTCCCCTGTTCTCCTGCTCCCCGGGGGTGGGGTGGTAGGTTGTTACCGGTGGTGGGGGTCGTAACTCCGGTGGTTGGCGAGGTGGTTGAAGCTTGGGGTTGGTACGATGCTATGCTCTCATCTGCTTTCTCGGCGTCCCTAGAGTTGGTGTTGGGATGCATTGGCGATTTGAGACATTGAGTCCGATGGCTTGTTGGCCTCTGGCAGCCGGCTGGTGAGGGGGTGTGAGTTGGGGCTGGTCTCCGGTTTGGTGGTGCGAGGGTGGACTACCGGGGAAAGTTTTCGAGGCAGGGGTTTCGAACCTTATTAGGCTTCTTCTACAGCATAAGTTTGGTGCTTTGGCCTGAGTTTCTGTCTGTGGGGGTGGTAGCTCTTGGTGGTTGGTGACGGGGCATTTGTGGAGTTGCGAGTTAGTTGGGGAGGAGGTCTCTAATTTAGTATTATTTTGGGTTTTCTATTGGTTGGTTTGTGCGACTTTGTTTGTGCCCAAGTTCGTTTTTGGTGCTAAATGTGTTGGAGGAATGACCCTGGATAGTCCCGACCTTGTCCTGATCGTCATTCAGGGCGGAGGTTTGACGACTTCCTTGCGTTGTAGCGGGAGTAGGCTTGTAGTGTTTCTTTTGTGTTTTGTGTTGTGGGGTTCGTGCTTTTTGTGTATTCTTCACACGGAGAGTTTTATTCTCCAATTGTGGAGTTAGGTAGTTTTTTGTTTTTTTGTGCGTACATTTGTTTTGTATTGATCTAGTCTAGGTTCTAGGTGATCTTCGAATTTGTCCTCTTACTAGGTTCGACTATAGAGCTGCCTTATTCAACTGTCAGGTTCTTTTACAGATGTATTTATGTGTTTTTTCTATAAAATTTCTATCTTTACAAAAAAAAAACTAGTACTGGAAAGTTAAAAGGTTCGAGAGTTCAACACATTGAGCACTTAAAACAATCGAACTCTCCTTATTGTAATAATTGTAAGAAAAGTTGGTTTTGACCAATTTAATGGTTCCATTTTCCATAAGTAAAAGACTTAGAAAATTCTGAAAGCCATTTTAAGGCAAACGAGAAATTAATTCTAAGTGTTATATGTGTAATAATTGAGTTTAAGTAACTCAAAAGTTATTGGGTTCAGGAACATTCTATTTTGACAAATATTTGGACAAACTAAACGAGCTATAATCATGCGTTATGTATTTCCGAATCGTAGAAGGACTCGATGGGAACAAGTATTAAAAAATGGAACTCAATTATGAGTTCGAATGAGCGGGTACGAGCTCTCGGCACGCAGCTGTGCACAGGGCCTTATCACAGGCGCGATGATCATCGTGGGAGTGACGATTTGTGCTGCCTTGTGGAAGGGCACGATAATTCATCGTTAGCGAGACGAGCACGTAACCTTGATGCACTTGTTAATACCGAGGAGGCTCCTATTCATTTTGATTGACCGAAAACGTCCAAAAAGGTGTCTTTTGATGTCCTGAACCCCCTGGAGATTTGTTAGAACATCTATAAATTCTCATGAAGTGAAATGGTTAGATACATATTATTTTTAAGAGCTCTCTGCATCATTTTACAAAGTTCATAAATCATATTGTGTTCTTTGTGTTCGTTTCTGTCTACAGAGTTCTGAAACATAATTATTATCCACTGAAGGTTTGTGTATTTTGAGTTACCTCTATACACAAATCAAAATTCATCGTATCTTGCAGGCGTTAGCCGGGAACCATGTGTTATATACAGGGCTATTTCGTCTTAAGGAAAACGTATCTTACGTGCCTCAACTTCATTCATCTTATCGTTTCTCTTTAGATTTCTTAAGCCATTTTCTTGAGATTCTAATACAAAAATTCTAACAAACGTAAGACAAAATGTTTGTGAGTTCATAAGATGACAACCAAAGGAAACCAAACGTTTTCTTCAAGTGCTCAACCGGCCGCTACACCGGCTACTAATTCTTTTAACCTGATGGTAGCCACTATCGTCCAAGGTGAGAGACCGCAGAAGTTCAATAGCTCTGATTTCAAGAGGTGACAACAAAAGATGCTTTTTCACCTCACAGCTCTCTCATTCTTTCATTTTATTTCAGAGGAACCTTTGATCGTTCCCATAAGTGAGACCGACGACCAAAAGTGTACAACCTCGGATGTTTGGCATCATAATGATTTATTGTGTAGAAATCTCATACTTAGCCGGCTAGAAGACACACTATACAATGTGTATAGTCCAATAAAGACACCACTTCGGTGAAGTAAAGGTGGTTAGCTCCAAGGAGTTATGGAATTTTTTAGAGGTGAAGTACAAGACGGAAGATGCCAGGATTAACTCGTCAGCAAATTCTTAAAGTACTTGATGACACCAAGTCGGTGGTTAGTGAAGTCGAAGAGATTCAAATCATCCTTCATGATATGGTGGTCGAGGGATTGATTGTGAACGAAGCCTTACAAGTGACGACTATTGTTGAAAAGTTGTCTCCTTTGTGGAAGGATCTCAAGAGTTATCTCATGCATAATCGAGGATTTGATAATTCACCTTCTCATAGAAAAAGATAATCAATAATCTGAAGTATTGGCCAAATGGAGCGAGATAGAGACTAAGACAAATTTGGCTGAGCGGAGCTCAAGAAAGAAGTGTTAAAATGCTTCTCATGGAAAACCGAAATAGGACGCCATGAAATCCAAGGGATGTCGTTACAATGGTGACAAACCCAAGTACCTTGATGAAAATTACTAACTTCTAATTTTGAGTAAAGGATAGTGTGAATTGTCGAGGATAAGATAATACTTGTCAGAGCTCGAACTTTCCACCGTAGTTTGAGTATATAATTGATTAAACTTATACGTTATAGAAAATAAAAACAAGAGCCACTTGACCCATAAACACTTATAAACATTGTCCTACAACCCTAATTATGGAATGAAGTATTTGTGTAATCCCTCGACTTCAAGTGTTGCAGGAACCAACAAGGTAGTGTGCTAAGAATGAATATTATATTAGAGATCGCGGATGTTCTTCATGCCCAAGACATCCATAAGAATCTAGTCTCCGGACCATTAATTGAGTAAGGTTGTATTTAGGTTAGCTTATGATCATTGACAAATATATTATGTTGAAATATGATCTATTCTTAGTATAAGTAGACCTTAATAAAGGTCATCTTACAATTATTGTAAAAATTATAATCTATTGGTTGATGAAAATATAAATAAGTTGGTCTTATTTATTAAGTGTTCTAATTTATGGCATGATAAATTAGGACTTGTGAATTTTAACACTAGAAATTGGTGAATCTATAATTGATTCATACAACAAATATGAATCGTGTTAATATGAAAGTGACAAAAGCATCGTATAAAATGGTGTTTTAGTTCATTAATTTTCTCGAGATAAGTCACACTGGTAAATGTGATTTAAGAGTTTGTGTAGACTCGAGTCGGAAATATATTATAAGAACGCACAAAGTATTGTCGTAAAGATTTTGTAGCTTTTGTAAGTTTAAGCTACACAAGAATGATGTTGATATTTAATTAAATAGTTAGTTAAAAGAAATAATCACTCTAGTAGGTGATAATTTCTTATTAAACTAAATATTATGTGAGAAGCAATTAGTTCGACAAGATTGCAAGCACCACACGAAGGTAAATACGAAACGCCGGCTAACAATAAATATATTAAGTTGTATAGATGGAAGGTAGAGCTTTTAATTATTGTTTGATATTATTAGGAATCTATTATGTTCTGTTTATTAAAGAGTAGATTTTAACACCCGTATTGCACGGGTGCTAATAAAAAAATATATGAAAATAAAACAAAATTTAAATACAAGTTTTTATTTTGAAGTGACAAAAAAAATGTATTACATTATTATTATTTATATTATACTTATATTAATTTCGCTACTTATATTATATTTGACTTGATAAATAAATTTATTCAATCTATATAATTTTATTATTTTTTTATATTTATTGATAGAAAACTTAATTTATTATTATAGAGGCAAACATATATTTATTTACATATGCAGTATGGATATCGAATTAAAGCTTGTCAAAAGATGATTAATTTGATATATTAAATATGGGAATCTTATAACAAATACGACAATTTGTAGACATCGAAATTTTAATATTTTATTATTTAGTGTCTTTATTTCTTTTTGGACATAAATCCATGATAAATAAGATATTTAATTAATAAGTTATTATTTCTTGCCACCAAGTCAAATCTTAAGATTATGAAAGAGATTATATCAAATCTTAGAATAAGAAAAGAGATTATATCAAATCATGAAAGACTAATCAAATTGATGTCTT